GTCCTCTCCAAGAGCATGTTTACATTCTTCTTCAGCAAACACAACAGAATCATAAGCACGTAAATCTTGCTGCACCTGTTGCTTAAGATAGGTTGTCCAATGTTTAGCTGGAACTCCAGAAGATTTTAATAGCATCGTAAGCTGGTCAAGAAAACGGTCAAGTTGTTCGTCAGGCTCACCTGTATAGCGAGGTAAAACCACTTGAGGCAACTTCAAAGTGTCAACATGGCTTGAACTTGGGGAATTTGTGGCTAAATCTGCGACAGTTTTCGCGAGTGCTTCGATGTGTTGTCGATTTGCTTCTTGGGCCATCGTGTTGGTTTGTTAGCTGGGACTTTATCACGTCAGCTAGTCCTTTAACGATCCCTGTGAGTTCCTCAACTGTCGCCATACTGTATTTAGTTCTTGTTACAAACGATGTAAAAAATCCTCTAAAATTCTGTTAAAACGATTTGCGTCCTCCACCAATTGTAGTAGTCAGAGTGTATAAACATACACTTTATTAATATCAACAACAATATAAACAATACATGAACAATAAACGAATCAAATATAGTTTTCTGCTACCACATTATCCTACTATAAACTAGCGGCCATTGAGTCCATGTGCTCTCTCCTCCTGTTCGCAGGTTGTACCTCCCTAAAATCCTACTACACGGACCATTTGATTTTTGAGGAGGGGGGGGGGGTGGAAGATTTCGAAAAAACATTTCCTGCAATCCAAGGAGAAAGATCGAGAAAAAATCATGCAAAAGAGAGCGCAAAAGAAATCTACTGACGTTCTTCACTTCAGTATTGTGTCAACAGGCTTGCACAATTTTGCATTTTTTGAGCAGGCACATTTGCTTAAAAGAACACGGGGGTGAACAGTGGACAACATCACAGTCTCACAGGGATTCTATACCGCCTTTAATTTGGAGCCTATAACATACGATAGCCAGTGGGGTTCCCTGGCAAAATTGTTGCCCCCCTTGAGAAAATCTGGGCTTAAGATATGTACAAGTTTATAAGTTATTTATAGGCTACATATCTAAAATGCATGGTAGAAAAAGTATTTTTGGATGGTTGAGTCTGTGTGCATTTTTTGATAACATAGCTCCAAACTGTTAAAGCTTCAAAGGCCCATCTACAGGATGCAAGTTGAACGTACTGTATATACGATACTTTTAATGCGAAAATGCCAGTTTAGAGAGTCTACATTTTAAAAATTTCTGAAGAGGATGCAACGCGATCCCCAACAAGCTATCTGTATGAACGATTGAAAAGCTACAGAGCTATATTTGGTGGAACATTGTTGTTTCGGAGGGCAGTTAAAAGTCGCATTATTGAAATCTTGTTTTATTACATATTAATCAAAGCTCATTTTGTGATTTTCCCTTGTTTAAAATAAAGGACAGCAAGTGTTCCTTAGGCTTAGTACAGCAAAGTTGTTGGACGAATCCATGGTTGAAAACGCAGGAAATAGCATTTCCGAGGTTCAAATTTTAAAATTTTCTCGGGGGAGCATGCCCCCGAACCCCCAAGGTTAATACAGGTCATTCATATACTGTACCTCCTCCATTTTCGAGTACTCTACTCTATCCCTGCCTGTTTTAGGTTTTGGTGCTCTTATACATTTTTTGTAAGTAAACCTGCACGCTTTAGTGTGGGGAACATTAAGACATAACCATATAAAATAAAGGACAGTGAAAATTCCTTGGCCCCTCTTGGGATTCAGCTCTTGGCCTCCTCTAACTGAAAACCCCAGCTACGTCTCTGACGATACTAGCTATATGAAAGCTTTTAATAAGTTGCTGTAAGCCGTTATTATGAGAGGCAAAAAAATATCCTGCCGCGCAACCGTTTCGCTACTTCTAAATGGGTACTTAACCAATATTCTAAATTTTAGAATGCGGGTAGTACCCATGCCAGGTACATACCTGAGCAATCCTAACCCTTAGAAGTTAGAGTTATAAACCGA